GAGAGAGAGAGAGAGAGAGAGAGAGAGAGAGAGAGAGAGAGAGAAACTAGGCAGCCCTAGGCAGAGCTGTGACTGTACTCTTGATAGCTATGTAAAGTAGATGAGGATCTTGAAAATCTATAATCTATGAGATTCAGTTCTGTTGTTTAACTGTCATAAGGTACATGTATCCCAATTTTCTTATAAGAATATTATAAAAGATCAACTTAGACGGTTTAAGTTATCACCTTATTGCTGTTTTGAATGATTCTTACCTGATGCACAGAGAAGGGAGTTGAATGTGTGCTCTTTCTTAATTCCTTCAGGCTGGGATGCAAAGAAAGAAAATCCAGAGATGAGAAAGCACTGAGCATGCAAGCACATGCCGGGAATTTTGAGAGGACACTGATGCCCCTTTATTCATGAGACTGTAAGCTGGAATTAGGTTTAACATTCCACCACAGCGGGAATGACATAAAAGTTTGAGAATTTGGGGTGCCAGGTGAAAGAGAAAGAAGGAAGATAGTTCAGAGGAAAAGGAGAAAATAGGATGGAGCAGAGGGAGGAGGTGGAGCTCAAGGAAAACACACTGCTGTAGAATGTCTTCAGCTGATTTAAAGGTGTGATCTCGCCGTAGGCTGTGAATTATCCGACATCACAGGCTCCTCTCACGGTGGTTCTTGATCCAAACATTATGCACTCAGCACTGCTCCATTAGTTTTGCATCAGTTGACTGTCAGTCAAGGCAGCCTGACTCACCTCAACCACCAGGGCTTTGACCACTGTGTCTTTCTTCCCAGTTTCAGGAACTGTGGCCACCTCAGCACCGCAGAGCTCTGGGGACTGTCGTGCTTCTGCAGTCACAGAGAAATTCACGTTCCCTGAAACACACAGCCCATAGAGCTGATCGAGAATGTGCCAAGAACTTAGTGTACTCCGAAACCCCGAGGTCTGCAAGGGATCCGGACTTCTGTGAACAGTTCAAGAGCTTGCCGCCTTATTTAAGAAGTTGCAGAGTACAGGTCAGAAGCGGCAGTGACTGAGAGCTCTCGCTTGGGGGCCCAAAGAGGAGACGGCAATTTAAAGACACTTCCCACATTCGTGCTTCCTGAGTACTTAAGGAGCCCTCTCAAGTTCATCCTTTCTGAATACTGAGAGTCCCTTTAGGGAACGTTCACTCACCTAGTGATTTGGGAGTTACCAACCAGGATGCAGTGAACCTCCCACTGGCACAGATGCAGTAAGAATCTTGGGCTTTTCCTACTGGAACAGCCTCAAAATCAGGAGAGGCTTCCAGCTGCACACTCACCTGTAGCCCCATGTGGGGTAGAAGTAGAAAGATGTCAGTGAAGAAGGGCAACTACTTAAGCACGGGATAGGGCAAGTGAAAGAGGCTGGAGAGTGTTAAGTGTTAAAAAGGGAAGAGGAGGTGTGCTCTTGGAAAGCGTGGTGTTGAACTGACACAAAGCTGACAGTCTTGCATAGACTTTATATGCATTTATCTACATCATGTCCCTAGCATTCTATTTAACATCAGTACAGATAAATATATACTTATCTACTTATATTTATTTTAGTTCTAGAAATAGATTTATTATCCTGGACTTTTTAATCACTGTTTTAAGGTATTCCTACTTCTGAGGACAACGAGATTCATTTAAAAATTTACTCAGCCAGGTGCGGTGGTGCACATATTTAATCCCAACATTCCAGAGGCAGAGGCAGGTGGATTTCTGTGAGTTCAAGGCCAGCGTGATCTACAAAGTGAGTTCCAGGTCAGCTGGGGCTACAGGGAGACCCTGTCTCAAAAAAAAAAAAAAAAAAAAAAAAATTTACTCAATACCATATCTTCCTGACAGTGGACTCACATTTCTTGTGTTGATTATGTCTTTTGATTTTATCCAGAGATTACACATTTCATCCAGTCTCTCTAAGTGTTTGAATGATGACAAATTTACCTAGTAAATTTTGTATATAAAATTTCTACACAAAACTGAATTAAGCAACTCACTGCTGTATATATGTAGCTGGGCTTTAGGAATTAGTTGGAGGAGGTGCTGATGGGGCCAAGCATCTCCACTCCCTCTTTCCTTCTAGTCATTTAATTATTAGTTATGATTCACATATAATAATTTCTCTCTTTTCCTCTGGCCAGGCTTAATTTGGAAAGGTCCTCACCCGGATGCACGTGGGAAGGTAGTTCACCACAGTGGCCTTGAGTGTGAAGGTTTCTCCACGGACCACAGAGTAGGGCATCGTGAGCTCCACAAAGAATGGCTGGAAGGCTCTGAGAGAGGCCGTGGGAGAGAGGCCAAGTCCATTGTCGTTAGACAGGCAGAGGGCCCCGGCCTTCCACTCAGTGATGGTGTCAGGGACTGTCACTCCCACTTCAGCCACTCCTGATGAGCTGCGAGGGTGGAGTGTGAAGCAGAGAAAGTGAGCATGAGAATTAGTTGTTTTTGACATGGAAACCGATGAGTGTGACATAATGCCATTCTGTGAGTTCTATTAAACAAGTGATAGGGAATGAACAGTGTAAACAGGATTCTAGTTGGAAAAACAAAGGGCTTTTGAATAGTTGTGTTTTCTCAACTTGAATCACGACTCCACACCACCTTAATTTGACAATTTGACAATTTTAAACATATATTTATGCTGATGGTCTACTCCTTATCGGATTGACTCATTTTTACTCAATATAGTGTTTTGAATAGTTTTAAACAGCAGAAAGCCAAATGATACTTTTTTTATATTTAAATATTTTTATAATTGATGAGCTGACATATCAGAGTTTTATAAATTACTTTTTATGATAAAAAGTAATTAGAATAATAGTAGAAAATAATGACATAGACATATATTTTTGATACCTTTCACAAATCTTACAAATGGAAGCTGCTTACTTCACCATGACCAAGTCCCAGATCCAGGTTTCAGGAAAATACTTTCGTACAGTCTCGGTGGGTGTATCTTCATGTACTACTGTGTGTGTATCTTCATTTATTTCTCTTAAAAACTCTTCATCATATAATATTAAAGGTGCTATGAAATTACAACGGAAGAAAGGAGCATATCATTTGAACATTTTTTTGTACTGTGTGAGATGCATAGATAATGTAGCTAAACTTTTCAATATCTTGTTAACATTAAAATGCTAAGACAATTGCACTGGAAATGATGTATGGAGACAGTGTTTTGCATGAGTAACATCTTTGTCAAAACAGAAACTATACAATCATTGCGAAAGCATCGCTTAATGTAGGTGGAGGTGCAAGAAAACATGGTGTTCAGGAAGTGCTTAAGAATTTTGAGAATTTTCTTTCCTTGCAGGAATCAAGATCTGTAATGCTATGTCTGTGACTCCCTCATCAGCTCTGAGCTATGTCAACATTATTGGCAGAAAGATTCTTGTAAATTTTTTCTCTATATAGATCCATAGGATTGAGCCCAGTGTTTTAACTTAGCTGTTCAAACTATATAAAAAGTGAAAGAAAAGTACAATTTCTTGAACCTAAAGTAGACACAATGGAAAAGTACATATCAAGTATTATTTTTAAAGGTATTTGATATTTATTTATTTATTTATTTATTTATTTATTTATCTGTGTGTGTGCATGTGTGTGTGTGTGTGTGTGTGTGTCTCCACAGAGTTCAGAAGAGTTATAGGCGGTTGTGAGCACACCACTGAGCAACCTTTCCATCCCCATACTTTTTTCTTGTTTCTTTTTAGCAAAGGAAATTTATTATCCCCCAAACTATAACATTGCTTTGGGTTTGCACTGGAAGGCAATGAAAATCTTAGCACTAACAACAGAGGTTTTGTGGTTTGATTTTTCTAGGAATATGTGTACATATAGATTTAGAGTTAGGACTCTCCTTTAATATTTCCACCTCAATTTAATTCTTTTCAGCAAAAAAAAATCCCCCCCCCCCCCCGCCAAATTTTTGCCTGTGTTCAGCTTGATTCCTCCTGGTCCTGCCCTGTGATGGTCACCACCCCCCTGGCTTGGTCTCTGCCTTTCTATTTGCCTTCCATTACTCAAGTTTTCCCAGTGTTACAGTTCTTCACTAAGTGCTTTAAGCATCTGCAGAGATGCCAGCTCGATTTTCCATTAGATAGCATAGAAAGGTGCCTTGGGCCCTGTTGTTTTTAAGGACTCATGATAATTCAAATTCCTTTCAAATTGGGATGAAAAAAATTGATACAGCATGGCCTGAATTAGGTTTTTCTTTATGCTAAAACACATGTAAAATTTTCATTATTAAAATATATATATATAAATACTAATGAAGGTAGGGGTTCATGACTAGACAGTATTCTATGGCAGCCTGCATGGATACTTATTCATTAAATTTATTTTCTATTTCTTTCAGATCCTCTGGGTCTTATTCCTTTTTTAGATTTTTTCTTTTTATTGAATTTTTGCATATTTTATACAATGCATCTTAATCATACCATAGACCCCTCTCCCTGGACCACCTTCTTAACTCCCCATAGGTTTTCATGTATTCTGTCATATGTGTTAAGGCCTATTGAGTCAATTTAGTGTCCCTAAATGTCCTTCAGTGTGTGTCCATCTACTGGAGCCTGATCAGCCTATTTAGAGTCACTCTCTTAAAGAAAACCAACTCTCCCTCCCCTAGTAGACATAGGTTGTCAATAGTTTCTCAGCTAAGCTTGGGGCTTCTTACCCATTTCCCTACTTCTATGCTGGGTTTGTCTGGTTTGAGCTTGTATGGGTCTTGTGCATGTTGTCACCATAGCTATTGCCTTGTAGTCATCTACCATAAGTCAGTAAGTAATCCAGCATACATATTCACATCATCCCTTCTTTTTACAGCAGATGGTGATTAACAGAGACACACAGTTAGTCAACGTGCAGAAAATAAGAGACCGTGGAGTGCTCAACCACTAAATGTCACACTCCTCTGTCACATTCACTCCATTCAAGGCTCAGGAATCAATTGGAAGAAAGGGCAGAAAGATTTTAAGAGTCAAAGGTGAGGACTAGAAGAATGAAGAAAATAAGGAAAAGAAAAAAATATTGTCCAATGATGAAAATATGCACAAACAACATTAGTTATTGCATGAATGGAAAACCAAAAAATATAATTAAAAAAATGTGATGATTAATCAGGCTCCAGTGGATGGACCCACACTAAAAGGCGATTGGGTACACAAATTTGACTCTATAGGCACCTGATTTTTGACAAAGGAGTCACAAATACACACTGGAGAAAAGACAGCATATTCAACAAATGGTGCTGGTCAAACTGGATAGTGGCATGTAGAAGAGTGAAACTAGATCCCCACCTCTCACCATGCACAATGTAAATGGATCAAGGACCTCAACATAAGACCTGATACACTGAATCAGATAGAAGAGACAGTAGAGAATACACTGGAACTTATAGGCACAGGGAAGGACTTTCTGAATGACTCCTATAGTGCAAACATTAAGCCCAACCATTGACAAAGGGGACCCTATGAAACTAAAAAGCTTCTGTATAGCAAAGGACACTATCACTCAAGTGAAGAGGCAACCTATGAATGGGAAAAATTCTTTCCCAGCTGTACCAGAGTAAGTATTAGAATGTACAAAGAACTAAATAAACTAAACATCAAAACTACCAAAACAACCCAATTAAAAACTGGGGCAAGGAATAAAACAAAACAAAACAAAACAAAAAATTGGGGCAAGGAGAGGTACAGGGAGTTTTCTAAAGATAAAATGCAAATGACTGAGGAACACTTTTCCGAAAAATGTTCAACATGTTTAGTCATTAGGGAAATGCAAATGAAAACCTCCTTGAGATTTCATCTTACTCCAGTCAGAATGACTAAGATCTAAAAGACAAAAAATGACAAAAGCTGATGAGGATTTGGAGAAAGGGGAACTCCTATCCACTGCTGCTGAAGTGCAAACCTGTGTAGTCACCATGGAAATCAGTGTGAAAATTACTCAAAAATCTGGAAAATTGATCTACCATTTGATTTGATCCAGCCATACCAATATTGGGCATATACTCAAAAAGACTCTATTCCCAACCACAGAAATATGTGTTCTTCCATGTTCAATGCTACCCTTTTCATAGTAGTCAGGAATTGGAAACAACCTAGATGTTCATCAACTGATAACTGGATAATGAAGATGTGGTACATATACACAATGAAAACATTATTTAGCTCTTTAAAAACGAAATTATGAAATTTTCAGGCAAATGGATGGAATTGGAAACAATCATCCTATACAAAGTAACCCAGACCCAGAAAAGACAAACACCCCATGTTCTCTCTCACAGCTGGATGCTAGCTTTGAAATCCTATATATGCATGTTTCAATCTGAAAATCCAGAGAGATCAAGAAATTAATAAGTGACCATAGGGTGGAAAGGCTTCTTGGGAGAGGAGGTAGAAAGCAGTGGTATGAAGGGGGAAAGCAGAGTAATAGAGCAGGAAGGGTTAAAGGGGGTGGGGAATGAGGGGCAGGGCGGAGGACGAAGTATGGGGAGGGAAAACTAACACTAGAGGCTTTTAGAAAAAGCCATATAGAAATCTACCACTATCAAAACTAAAGTATATCTATATAGATTATAAAAAGACAGTAAAAGGGACTGGAGAGATGGCTCAGTGGTTAAGAACACTTGACTGTTCTTGCAGAAGACCCAGGATCAAATCCCAGCACCCACATGGCAGCTAACAACTCTCTGTAACTCCAGTCCCAGGGGATCCAATGGCCTCTTCTGTCCTCTGTGGGCATTGCACAAAACTGGTGCGCTTACCTACATGTGGGCAATACACACATATACATAAAATAAGAATAATAAATAAAAATTTAAAAAAAAGGCCATTAAAAGATATTATCTTATAAGAGGGGACATTGCCCCTACTAGACACCATAGGTTTGCAAAATAAATGTCCAATGCCAGGAATGGACTCCCTCTTTTGAAGCTGTTGACACCTTATTATTTGAACAATCCCTTAAATAATACTGGCCACCGCTCCTGCTCTTGGTTACCCACCAGAACTTCACAGTAAGAGCCTATTTCTGAAGACACATGCATGAACAAACAAGGAGAAATCAATCTGGTACTGACTTCAAAGCCTGCCTCATCTCTACTTGTAGGAGAGGAAGTGCCAGGCTTAAGCACAGGCTGCACTAAGAGAACACAGCTTCTGCTTTGAGAGCACAGCCCGTGCTTCTGCAAAGTAGCCAGTCTACGATCTGCCTGGATGAAGGGATCTTGCCCGGATGAGGGGATCTATCAGGAAGCGACACACCAACTTACGGGACACTGGGGGCAGGAGGAGAGGTAGATAAGGCTTGCACTTCCCAGCAATAAATGAGTCTGCAGCACCTTGCCTAGTGCCTGCTTCCACCTGACTCCCAGAGTCTGTGTGTTGATTCCACCCAACTCACCCCCACCTCGGCCAGAACCCTTGTTCCCTGCAGTCCCTCATGGGCTGGACCTGCAAGGAAACCTGCAACAGCTCATCCCTGTAAGACATTGTCTTTCACTCTCCCAGAAGCCAACAATTGCCAAAAGTTCTTTAGGTTAGGTTGGGTTTTCATACCCACTTCCCCGTGTCTATATTATAGAGATTTTATCTGGTTTGAGCTTGCATGGGACTTGTACATGCTGGGCTCTATAGGCTATATTTTGATCGTATCATTTTGCATTCTTTTTCTCTTATACAGCTATTATACATGTTCTATAATCTTTGATAAGTAATTAGCATTTCTTTTGTGTTAAAACATATGTGCATTTGCTGTTTTACCTGACACTGGGAACAACGCATAGTCAAGACATAATAGAGGATGATGGGTCTTCAAGTTAGTGAACGCCTTTAAGCCCATGTCCTGGGGAAGAAAATTAATCAAATAAAAATATTTCAAAATTTCTGCTGAAGTCGAATTATGTATGAAAACTAGAATAATCCCAACATAGTTTAAAATAATCAAGAAGAATTAGTTTTCATATTCTGTTATTTGTATATTTGAGAAAGTCTGGGGAAGAACACAGAATTTATGGTGACATTTGTGCTGGCCTTCTTTCTGATGTGCTGTTATTTGAACAAGTCACTTACCTACTCCATGTTAGTTAGCTTCCCCAGCAGAGAAAGTAACAACCTAGACTTGGCATTTTCTGAGGTTTTTTTTAATGCTTGGGATTGAATCCAGGGTCTTGCTGCATGTAAAGTGAGTGTTTTGCCATCTAGCCTTCACTGATTTGACTCTAAAATTCTTTACCAATATAGCATTTTATTAATCCTAACTAATTCACAGGGAAGAATGTTAATAGGTAATATTGACTGTACCTCCATGTATCTGTAGACATCCTTTTCATTTTTGTGTGACATCGTGTATCCTAATTTATCATCAGGCATACGTTTACTCCTTACACAATGTTCTTGGTCTTCGGGTAGTTGATTTATAGGTGGAATGAAGTTAATGTGCTCCATAGCTGGCAGATTATGTACCTTATAAGAAACAGGAGAAGAAGCTGTGCATGTTGAGGGGACGCTGTTTCTTGTGCTTTCTTGGAAGATTCTCATGAAAAGAAAGCAAACGGTGTGACCACTGTTGATCATTTCTTGAATGTTCATGATCTTGTAAACAAGATCCTGTACAGAGTGACTTATCCTAAAGATGATCATAATGTTTAGGAAAAGACTTTAAAAAATATTCCAAGGATCCAAAAAGAAACAGGAAAAATATTCCAAGGATCCAAAAAGAAACAGGAACACACACACACACACACACACACACACACACACACACACACACACATCCAGAAAGAATGCCAGCAATATCAAGTTTACCCTTGCCTAAGACAAACAGGGAACTTAGAAAACTCCTGGTATTGTCAGGCTAATAAAGACTATGGATTGGTTCATATGTCCAGAAAGTAAAGCCTTTGTATCTCAAGTTGCTTGAGGAAGCATCCGACTCTCTACAGTGGTCCCCAGAAGAAAGCCAAGCAACTAAAGAATTAAAACTGACTCTTGATAAGCTCCTGTGCTTGTCCTCCCATCATTAGAAAAACCCCTTCATTTGTAACTGTGGACCAGGGTGTAGCTTTTGGGGTGCTCCCAGGCCTAGAGAGGAAAAAACACCCAGTGAGCTTTATGTCCAAACTCCTTGATCCTGTCTCTTGGGGGTAGTCTGAATGTGCACAGGCAGCAGCAGACATAGCCCTGCTGGTGGCACAAAGCAAAAAATTGGTTGTTGGAGGATCTCTTATATTAAGCACTCAACATCAGATTAGGAACATCTTAAATCAAAAAGCTGAGATGGTTGACTGACTCTCAGATCTGGAAATGTGAAGCAATAGCCCTAGAAAAATATGATTTGGTCTTAACCCCAGAGATCTGCCAAAACCATTTGAGCTTTCTACGGCAGGGGGAGGAAATAAAGAAGTCCTAGATCATGACCATCTCAATTTGATAGCGCACCAAACCAAAGTCACACCAGACCTGAATGAAACTCCCTTCATGATGGGGTCAGCTTATGCACAGATGGGTTATCTAGAGTAACTGAGGGAACCAGGTGTAATTGCATACTATAGGTGATGGGAAAAATCAGTCTTTGTATGAAAGAGGTACACTAGCCAATAACCAGTCAGTCCAAACTTGTGGACTGTTCTCTTAACTAAGCTTTAAAGCTCCTGGAAGGACAGGAAGGCATTATACTTACTGGCTATAAATACACATACAGTCACACACACCTTTGAGAAAATCTGGACAGAACAAGGCCTAATAAATATAAGGGAAATAAATTAATACATAGTGAGTTAATAGAACAGGTCATAAAGAACCTTTAAATTTAAACTGAGGTGGCTATAGTTCATGTAAGGGAAGCATTAGGTTGGCTGTGGGGAACAACTTACAGATGAGGCTTAATTCCTTATATCCCTAAAATGATGTTGAGATCCACCTTTATCCAGGAGGAAGAAAAGAACTAATACAAACAGGACTTTTCTAAACTGAAGATGGGAGATGGGAACTCCGAGGTAGAAGAAAAATAGCTAATAAATCCACTATGAAAATCTAGCATCTATCTTGCACAAAAGAAGCCATTGGTGACTCCAGGTTATATGTGATACAATACTTGGAAATTATATATGTATGGGGACTTATACAATCGCCAAACAAGTGTGTGTAGGATGTGTTATTTGACAAGAGATAAACAAGAAGGTGCTGAAGAAACAGACCTTAGGCGGGAGGCTTCCATCCAAGAGGACTTCACAGAAATGCCTAGGATAGGAAGACTAAACTATTTACAGGTAATAGAGGACCATCTTTCTGCATGAGTAGAAAGCTTTTGTCTCTCAGCTGGTATTTCTGGCAATGCCACCAAGTTGCTATCAGAATAGATTGAACCATGGTTTGGTCTTAGAGAAAACAAAGATTCAGACAATGGCAGAAATTTCACTTCCAAGGTGTTAAAAGGAATCATGAAAGGTTTAAACAGTAGTCAGGACTGTTGTGTTCCATGGCATTCTCTTTCATCTGGGAGAGTAGAAGGAATTAATCAAACTCTTGAGAAATAAACAACTAAGCTCATTTTAGAAACCTGACTGACTTGGACCAGATGTCTCCCTATAACCCTTCTCATGATTAGAACACCTACAAGAAGGGACTTGGGACTGTCTCCTTATGAGATATGATATGGCCTCCCATATCTAGGTAGAGCTGAACTTCCAACAATGGAAACTAAAATTCTTGAAAAACCATACACTGGCCATATCCTCCTTCCACTTTGTTGTCCCTCAGATTCAAGGGACTTCCTGCTCAGACCCCACCCTTGGAACTCACATTTCATCAGTTTCAACCTGGAGATTTGGCGCTAATAAAGTCCTAAAGAGATGAAAACTTTCAGACTAGTTTGGAAGGTCCGCATCTAGTGCTCCTGGGCACCAAGACTGTCCGATGGACAGGAGAAAAGTGCTGGATCCAGTACACCTGGGTTAAAGGATCAGAAACAACAAACCAAGGGAAGGGGGACAAAGTGATTGGAAAGTAGAAAAGGTTCTTGGGTCACCTATAAAACTTCCAGTAAGAGCCATGAGCCTCTTACTGAGCCTGATTAAGTCAGATCAGGATATTTGGGAAGTAGTTGGATGAGAGTCAAGAGGTTCCCTGTGATGCTCTGGACAAATGTCACCAAGGAGAGTGAGCTGCAAACTATAGAAGTAGATATTTGATTTTTAAAAAAGTTTTAAAATTGAATTTTTGTGAATTTCATACAACATATTTTGATCATATTTAGACCTTCTCCCTTATTTACACCCCTTTACTACTACCTCCTCTGTATTTTATCTCATGGATATAAGAACAATATTGTGAGAAGTGATTCATGGCTCACCGGAATACCATAACAGTTCATGGCTCCCTGGACAATAAGACCTAAGGAAGTATATGACCCTTCACATGCTCATGAGTATTCCAGGTACCAGATATAAAGAATCCTGAACAAATAGAAAGATGCAGAGAGAATTAAAATGGCTTGAGCATCTCAGTACTAACTCTGGAATCTAGAAAATCATGGAATGAATGTTTCTAGAATTCTCAGTGAACATGATTTCTTAACTGAAGCTCTGCTTTATTTCAAAACATTAATTAATTATTACAGGAAATACAGATTTTATTACAAGAAATAAAGATATTTATAGGTGCATAAGAAATTTATCTTTGATACCCTCTCTCCAGAACAGTGTTATAGTATGTATAACTCTCAAAAGGAGGAAAAAAACTAAAAAAGAAGTCATGGGATCCAGAAAACTGTGAGCCAAATAGGGAGGATTCTGAAGGGGTGTTCCCAACTAAGAGTGAACATCTAGGCTGCAGACATCAGCTGGGAAGAGAGCAAGACGGCAGGGTCCACTGGGAAAAAGTAGGCTTGAACACTGCTACAGAAATAGTAGATAATTTGAAAACAAGTGAGGAGAGACCTTAAGCAAATATAAAAATAAGGAATGATTAAATGTCAGGACAAATGAAAAGAAATGAGAGGAAATGTAATCACTGCACACTATCTTAATGATAAGCCATATTTTGTTATAGGAAAAATTGTCTAAGGATTTTGCATAATTATGCCAAGCATTATCTCATGCAAGAAATTAGTATGATGAGGAAAGAGATGAATAATAAGACTCAACATGATGCTTTGTAATAGTAAAAATGAAAATTATGTTAAAATGAAGAAAGACCAATGGTTGTACACAGTAATAAAGATGTAGAATAGAATATTAAAGAAACTGCCATAATCACTGAAAGTAGAGGCAGCCAAAGAATGGGACAAGGAAGGGCGTGGAAGACCAAGAAGCTGTCGGTGTCTGTCTTGATGATGACCCTTCCAGCAGTACACACGTTTTAAAGCTAATTGGCTGTATTTGTCAGACAAAATCATTACTTAAGGAATCTCTTATTGTAAGAGATTTGAGGAAAAATTCTAAATGAGAAAAGCTTTTGTAACAGGTTTTCCAAAGAATTTTCTGCATATGAATCAGAAAACCCTACCGTTAAAATTAAGTGCTAGTTTCACTTGTGCACTGAGGTTAAAGACTGGGAAAATTATCTGGATTAAATATCACTTTTGAAAT